AAAAAAAAGTTATACCGTAATCGTCCCTGGCGTTAACGTTAGCTCCATGATTTAAAAGTAATTCAGCAATTTCTATTTTATTATTTTTAATCGCACAGTGAAGCAGATTTTTGATTGTGCCTTTCCGAGTTTCATTAACGTTGGCACCTCTGTCTATAAGCATCTTAACATCATCTACATGTCTTCTTATAACAGCAAAACGCAGTGGAGTAAAACCTGAAAATAAAGAGATATATGTAGAATTAATATAAACTCCATGTTTTAAGAGATGTTCATCAATCTGGAAACATTCTTTCTCAGCTTCAATATGAAAAGTTATACCGTCATCGTTACTGGCATTAACGTTAGCTCCATGATTTAAAAGTAATTCAGCAATTTCCATTACTCCATCTTCAATCGCATAGTGACTCGGAGTATTAACATTGACACCACAGTCTATAAGCATCTTAACAGTATCTACATGTAATCTTTGAAGAACAAGATGCAGTGGTGTATCACCTATAAAGGAAGAGATATATGTAGAATTAACTCTCCAATTAAACTCCATGTTTTAAAAGATGTTCATCAATCTGGAAACATCCTTTCTCAGCTTCAATATGAAAAGTTATACCGTTAATGGTACTGGCGTTAACGTTAGCTCCATGATTTAAAAGTAATTCAGCAATTTCTATTTTATTATTTTCAATCGCATAGTGAAGCGGAGTTTTGCCATTCGGACTTTGAACATTAACATAGACACCGCTGTGAAGAAGCATTTTAATATTATCTACATGTCCTTTTTGAACAGCAAACCACAGTGGTATAAAACCTGGTGTAAAGAAGAGATATATGTAAAATTAACATAAACTCCTTGTTTTTAAGAATGTTCATGAATCTGTAAATATCCTTTCTCAGCTGCAATCTAAAGTTATACCTGAAATGTCACTGGCATCAACGTTAGCTCCATGATTTAAAAGTAATTCAGCAATTTCCATTTCTTCATCTTCAATCGCATAGTGAAGCGGAGTTGTGCCTTCCCGAGTTTCAGCATTAACGTTAGCACCTCTGTCTATAAGCATCTTAACATTATCTACATGTCTTCTTTGAACAGCAAGACATAGTGGTGTAACATCTGAAAAGGAAGAGATATATGTAGAATTAACTCTCCAATTAAATTCCATGTTTTAAATTATGTTCATCAGTCTGTAAATATCCTTTCTCAACTGCAATATAAAAAAAAGTTATACCGTCATCATTACTGGCGTTAACGTTAGCTCCATGATTGAAAAGTAATTCAGCAATTTCCATTTTGTCATATTGAATTGCATAGTGAAGGGGAGTTGTGCCATACCAAGTTGTAGCATTAACGTCAGCACGTCTGTCTAGAAGCATCTTAACAATTTCTATGTCACCATTTATAACAGCAAAATGAAGTGGTGTATGATTAAATTTTCCAGTATTGCTGTTAACTTTAGAACCGTTTGTTAAAAGTAGTTTAATAATTTGTGTATGCTTATTCCTAATAGCATCACAAAGTAAAACATATCCTCCTGACCATGCTTGTGAATAAGATAGTCCAAAATAAGTAATTAGCTCCCTTGCTTCTTCTAGGTTTCCTTCACGAACTGCACATATTAATCTGTAGCTTGTATTATTATAGTCCATGGTTAAAATAGTGCTCAGGTTGCATCTGTTTTTCTCTAAAATCTCTCTTTAATGTTGTTTCTCTACTTAAGTTTTAGTTTTGGTTTTCCTATAATTTTATTTATATGTATTACAATTGTGAAATTTAAATCAAGAGGCACGGTAGTGCCTCGCGCCAAGTTCACGCGCAACGAAGTTGCGCTCGTACTGCGCGAGCACGCCGTGCCTCTTATACGCGAGATTGAGGTTTTTCAGTGGAGGGGAGATTTGTAATCAGCTATTTCTTCACAACGACTAAACCGATCGACTTCTTTT